TCTATCGAAGAAACTGGTAGCATATAATAGCAATCATATTTGTTAGATGCTGATGTAATAGAAATAATTACATGGAGAGGGAACACATACTTACGAGCAAACAATCGCTGCACATTTGGGACAGAGATCATCTAGCAGTCCAGTGTATTTTAGTTCTTGTACTAAATTTAAGAACCAGATGTTTATAACATCTAAGAATTTAAGAGTACTCATCATATTAAGAGTATCTTTAGACGATAATATAATTTTGTTACTCCATTAAACAGGAAGGTCATCTACAGAGAGTTAGATGTAAATGTTTTCATCTGGTATTATATTTCAAGGAAAAGAAACGAAACTTTTCATGCGTCAGTGTCACTTATACGTGTCATTCAACGTAAACAAAACCATAGGAATCATGCCTAAACGCCATTACGCCAAGGCGTTCCGAAACGTACAGGGAATGATGTCATCGGAGGTAAAATTTTCTTGTCTCTGTAGAGCAAGGCAAATGGGGAATATTTCCCATCTTGTACTGCGCGGTTCACTTAATCTTAGTAAACAACATGACTAATATGCAGTTTACAGCTTACTGGAGAGTCAGCGGAACTATAGCGTTCATAAATATCTGGTAATGAGATTCAGTTCAATAAAGAATTAGATAGTAACGTATATGATACGAAGGAATGTAAACACATACATTTTAGCTGCGACTGGATGTATAAGAAATGCTTTTCAGATTAAGAACGAAACGCAAAGGCCCGAGACAGGGATATCGCCTTGAACTCAATAAATTAAACAGAATGTCGCTCTGGGTATGCCAGTTTTAGTGATATTAAAGTTACATTTATAAAAAAACGCAAAGTTCCATCAGAAAAGCTGCCGTCTTTTGTGAAGTAACATTCTGTTCTCTAAATATTGCATATTTAACTGTACGTGCATAAATAATTCTAAAGGACAAAGTAAAAAAAGTTTTTTAAAGTAAACTTTTATTTAAAACACATAATTAATTAAGTTTGGTGGGGACAAATTAATTATCCATTTTTGTGAGATTGGTACAGAGATTAAATACGTCTCTTCACAAAGTATATTTGCAATTTCGTATCACAAATAATAAAAATATGGGGCTGAGGGATACCCAGCCCTGAATTTGGGAGAGAAGTGCCCATTTGTTAAAATGGAATCTCTTGAAACCAGACTAATTTTTTAAGTAACAGAATAGATTCAAATTCAATTGTTTGCAAAAACATCATCATTTCTTTTTAATATTTAAACTAAAATAAATTAAATAAATTTAGTTTTAATGAAATGTAATTTAATTAATCAAAACGTTTTCTAATTTTATGGTTTAACGTATTGTAATCTATAAAAATATTCTCTTTTTATATAAGCGTTTCCATAATATACATCCATCCTTCAAACTAACACACTGATGTTCGTATTCTGAAGGCAGGTTGTAAGCATTGCAATTATTTATTATTATTATTTTATTATAATAAAATAATATAATTGTAAGCGTTACAATTACATACTTTGATTTTACTATCATAATTTTCTTGAAAATATAGAGACGCCTAGTTAAAAACACTGAGAAAAATTCAATTTGAAAAACTGAAATTTTCAGAAATTTTGAACTTAATATTTCAGCTTCTAACACATTATTAACGTCTACTATTTCAGCATAGGCAAAACTTCGTATTTCTCTTTAGAAACCTCCTACAAAATTACTGTTATGAACCCCAAAGTTAAATTTTTATTGTGTTTTTCATATGAAGGAAATATGAATTAAATATACATTGTTTCTTTTCTTTCCATAATTAAAAACCGAGTTTTTATTACCCTACCGATTTTCTAAGAGCTTTCCTTCTGTAAAAAAATTAGTGCACTTTACTTGCAGTTTCAATTTTTCAAATATTTCTAATCTTTGTAAGGTATGTTTTAATTTTATAACAGTTGTTTTAGTTTTGTTAACCTTTCCTGTCGCTCCGCGTTTCAACTTACAACTCCCTACCAGAATACGTTTTTAGAATAGCGTTGAATGCAAATGAATAAGAGATAGTAAAAGGAAAGTTCAACTTACTTCGTGAGAGAGAGAAATCCTGAGTAGCGCCCGTTTGCCTTTGGGCTAAGTCTCTTCAACTGATGTTGCGCTCGGCCGTATCTTACATGCCTTTTGATAGTTCGCCAGCTAGTTTCAAACTAAGGGCCAACTACGTTAGAACTGTGTTAGCTTCGACGAAATTTCTTAGTTAGTTATAGTTAGTTCTTATTTCTTATTTTTGAGTTTAAGCCCAAGTGGAGGCTCTGTTGTAAGCCTAAGGAAAGGGGCCGACTGTTCATCTTATTTTGAGTGAAATAAAGGATAGTTAACCCTTCTTGAGTTTACGATTTCTGTTCTTTGAACTAAGCGATAATTCGCTTAACAGTTCACTAGGTTCCTCGATATTTAATGTAGCAGAATAAGAGTAAGGAACACTACACCTTCTTTCAATAGTTTTAAATTGTTCACAGATATGAGAAATAATAATTTGTTATATTATTTGCTAATACTGCATTTTAATAATTCAAAACTTTGACCATTTTCTTTCGGATATGATTTTATGGTAATCAGCATTTATTACGTTTTCTGGCAGGAAGTATTGAAAATCAAAGTAAATTTTCTGATCAACTGTTTGAAATTATTAAGGTATTACTTATGTTTGATTTTCGTAAGTTTCAAAAATACAAATTACCTCACATTCACTACGTTATGTAACACTAGATGAGACTTGTTGCAAATGGTGTTAGAAATTTATCCGCTGCCGTTATAGTTCATGCCATATCTACACCAATAATATTCATTAAAAGACTGACATCGAGTAAATTTTGGTTACTTGACTGAATCAATAAGAGGTGTTGGTATTTCCGAAAAGTTGCTGAGAGATAAATTGAAATTTAGTGCTTTGTCATGGAAATGTTTTGTATAATCATTAAAGGTTTTTAGCTCTATGGGATTGATTTCCTAGTATGAAAAATGTTTAAAAACATTAATGAAAAATATGTCTCATAAAAGTGTGTACCTACGTGAATTCTTATAGGTGTTTAATTCTGAAGAACTAGTGACTTAACTTCCTTTTAAATATTTTAAAAATTTTACATTACTGAGAGAAATACCGTTTGAATAAAGGTTGATTTATTTCAATACACTCCAACCAGCATATTTCCATTACAACTATCACTACCCAATAACTTCAGATTTATTATTTTGCAAATGCTATATTATTGCCCACACTTAAACATAATTCGTATAATAGGTGCAAACTTTTTGTTTCTTTCTTTTGCATCAAAGAAAAAAGAACCTTCAATATCATAACCTCAACAATTATAATGCTCATTTTAAGTCTTTGGAGAATCATGTGAGGCTGTTGTCTTGTGAAAGAGACAAGTCGAGTAACTGATTTATTACTATAAAATTATAATAGGAAATCTGATTTCCTGCAGAATTTATGAAAAACTTTCTACGAGCACGAGTCTGCCATATTTTTATGAATAATGATCCAAACTTTCCAGTGTTCAGAGTTATCACCAAAGAAAAATGCAAAGATTATGTTTCCGTCTTAATAGAATTTGAAATAACTCAGTTAATGGACCACCGCAAATAATAACCTTAGCTTTAATTAATTAGTTATGAAAACTTTTGAATTTGCCTGTAACATCATGCTTGTTTCAAATAACGTACCTAAATTCAAATTTATGTAAAAGAAGAAACATACACATACAGGGAGGGGGTATCCTGAGTTTTTATAAAAAGCATGCTTTGTTGCAGATTTAAAAGAAAAAAGTAGTTATAAATAGAAGTTAGAATTACAAATTGGCTATACTATTTGCGCATCAAATATTTCGTTATATATTGCACAGCATGTAAATAATGGAATACACACAATAAAAATTTTTAATTCATCAGATTTAAGGTCTGAAATACTGAAATGGAAAGTTTTCCAGATAAAGTTTGAGAAATTTATATATCCTAGTGTTATAACTCAGTTTTCTTTACTGGTGTGTATCGCATTGCAACTTATATTTCCAAGTATAATCAGTAAATAAATTATGTTCACCAATTACTAATTCACCTAGTGCTAGATAAAAGATGAATTATGGCACAGTTAGTACTGATACTGGTAAAATCAGCGACTCATTCTATTAAGATTCACTTATGTTACGAATACTAATGCTATTTACACATGGTTTAAATTTACGCTCAAATTTATTTTCAGTCTCAAGAGAAAAATAGAGAACATTCAATTCAAATAATTCGTAGGACTAGTGTTAGTTACATTTAATAAATTGTCAGATAAACTCGAAGTGGAAAAAGGGAATTTCTCTATGATTTCTCTTCGCACTTATTATTAGAATCAAGCTTTCCGCTTATTTTCTTGAATATATTATAGTTTCGCACTGCAGGTAATTAATAACAGATTTTGTTTACAGACACATTTCATTCTTGTATATAGACACATTTCATTACGTCTCGTAATTTTACCTTTATATTTACTATTTTAAAATTTTCAAGCAATTCTTTTCAGAGCTTGATAAAAATCAAAAATATTGGTTGAATTAATAGCCCCTTTAATAGCCCCTCTGTTTCATTTTTATCTACGCTTCAGATTTCCGAAAATATTCCGTAGCACTCTAGTTATCAATACAGATAGTTATCACGTACCATGCCCTAACTAGTTATCTACCGCCTAAATAATACTTGCTCCTGCAAATCATATCAACCCAGTATTTTTACCGCATTATAGGGGTATTTCATTCCAGATATGCATTATTATTATTTTATTACATTTAAGATAGATGCAAACAATTTCACGGACACCAAAACAGCATTAAAATATCGCAACTACAGTTCCTTAATGAATTATTTACAAATTAATAGAAAATTTTCGCACCGAATTCAGATTTATTTGAAATGTAAAAAATATATAACAGAAATAAAGCCTACAAGAGGATTCGCTTGTAATAAGAAATGAATTTATACTTACAGCGCGAGTGCATTCCGCCACGCAATATCCGGTTAATGCGAAGTCCGGTTGATGTGGAGGAATGGCCATTTTGTCAGTATATTCTAATCCAAGTTCCATTACCCCCGCGTCGTATTCCCGCAAGGAAGGAGTATAAGACAGCGTAACACCTGAGCTATCAACGAGGCCTGTAGAAGAAAAATGCACAAATTTAATATGCTTTTTAAACCATTCTTAAAGCAAATATTACAATTACTGAAGCTATATGAAAAGACAAGTGTATATCATAAGTTTGAATATTAGCTAACAGTTCATTTAATTTAAAAGTGGCATTTTTTTTTAAAATTTTTTTGTGAAAAAAGGAATATGATTTTTAATTTTTATTTTTTGCATTGAGATTTGTTAATCTACTTATTTATTTATTTATTTATCTAGGTATTTATTGAATTTATGCGTGATTCCCTATACTATTTGTTTACTTTCACGAACGTGTTCTGTTTCCATAAATTTTAAGTCTTCTAAGCGGCGTTTTGTTCATTAATTTAGTCTAAGTGCTTTGCAGCTTAGCTGGGAAAATTATAGAAGGGATCAGTTTATAAAATCGAAGAATATCCATGCGTGCTCATAGAGGATATAACAGTTTAGGGAAATAAAATGCTTTATATTCTACTGCTCTCTCAACAGTGCCATTTGATAACAATAAAAAATACGAAAATTTTGGAATTGTAAATAATTCACTTACAAAATTTCAGTAAAATCTTAATTGCTTTCGCATTTGCAATCTGCATGCATTGTCGAAGTATGTTTTTCTGATATGGGACAGCTGGAACTAGTAGAAAAACTTAATTACGCTGACACACAGGAAGATTTCGTGAGATATTATTTATTAAAATTTTATAAATTTTTTACTTCCTTAAATTCTTATCCGAATATCTCAAAACATGGATTCATTTCTCTAAACAATTATTAGTGGGTAAATTTGTAATACATGACTCTGGAACCCATTACGTTTTTTATTACATCGTATTTTTTATGGTTCCTGATGCAACCATTCGCAAGTAAGGACTGTAAATTTATAGACATTTTCTACCAAGTATCGTTAATTCGGCAGAATTGCTAATTTAAACCAGTTTCCAGGTAATTTACCGGTATGGTTTCTCTCCAAAACTTTTTCTGAAATATATAAGTGTAAATAATACAAAATTAGAAATTTTATTCAAATCTTATGAGACACTAGGAAAAAATGAGTAAAATAAATTATATTAACATAAAATACAAACGTCTTTGTATAGAGATAAAAAAATAAATTATTTATAGTGTGTTTACAAATCATTTATATGTTACCAGCGCCTAATGGTCACATTATTGTCGTAAGTTGGAGATTTGCTGGAATTCGCGTACTAACGGTACACATTTGTAGTGGCCCTCCCTTGAGGACTTCTTGAGGACCAGCGCAGCCACGGGACCGAAACCCTGAAATGGAAAGCGTTTATAAAACGTCACGTGACTGTGATGTATATATAATGTGATGCTACAATAACTCTTCGCTCTTTAACCCCTCGAGAATCAGCGCGCGAAGAACGGTCCAGCCACGGGTCCGAACCCCCTGAAACGGAACGTCGGCCACCAGCCCATGCATTTTCAGCAGTTAAGCCTACTTTTACAAAAAAAATCATATAAAATGAGCATTTTAATATAATGACCTGAATTTCTGAAGTTACGCGCTTAATATACTAATTATTAATATGTATTAATATAAAGAATATCACATGAATAGAAATGAAGCATGCGAAATACTGAAATTATAACTATAAGCATGAGAACAAATACTATACACATGAAAACAAAATTACAAATACGAAATATAAAAGGAAATTAAGCAATAATTATCTGTTAATAATTAAATTCTGATTTAATAATTCTGCTGTGTGTGGAATAATTCAAAACGAGAATCGACACACAGGACAATGGCGGAATTTTTCGCCGAGCATATGCCGAGCAAGTAAGATGCATCACGCATCGGGAAAGCTGATATCTTTTCCCTTCTGTAATAATGCTGTAAAGTTACTTTTTAACTAACCAAGAAAGTCTGTGCTAAGTTTTAAAATTAATATAAAAAGGGGCAACTGGTATGAGTTTTTCCATCACGGAAGTTCGGCGACGTTACACTCGCTATAGTCAGCTAGATGCGTTTTCTCACATCCTTGTAACCAAACAAAAAAGGGGGAAATAGAAAACATTGAGCTGGATGCATTTCCTCACATTCTAATAACTAACAACGCAAAAGAATAAAAACGAAGACAACAAAAAACGAAATTTCTACCGAAATAAACAAACACGCCGGTAACACTTTAACTTAAAGTGCTGTGATTCCAGTTTGTTTACTCCACTAAATCTATAAAAAACAGATGCACAGAACATAAACTGATGCTCATACATGAAGGTCAAATCCCACATGACTTACCGATGCGAAAACCGTTACCATTTAGCACGCACCATCTACTAGCATTTAAAAATTCAAATAAATCGTTCCGTTTTCCAGTTCCTTATACGGGACGCTAGGCTGGTTAAGTGTGGAATCGTTGCTTCGCGTTTCTTATTTTCCTATACGACTATAATTAATAGGAAAATAATATTTTACTATTAATTATTTTTCCTATAGGCCATCAAACTTTGTTTTGCCAGAAACTTGAACGCAATAGTTCTGAATCTGATAGCATTGTTAAAAATGAAATATTTTGAAATACTGCAAACAGCAGATATAATTTAATAAAATTCTTTTGTTTCAAAAGTCCATTTCTTCCGGGTTCCGTAATGATGCTTTCAAACCAACCAAATCCAAAGATAAAGTTTCAGTTCTTCCAGGAAGTGAAATTCTTTGGAAAAGTAGAAATAATAAACCTCTGAAGTTGGCTACTGCGTCTCTGTAATGAAGCTAAGTTCCTCGAAATTATAAAAATAATAAGCAACTGCATTTATACTATCTGGGAAATAAAAAAATAACAAAAATTTATAAAATTCTCGTAATTCAATACTTCTTCTACGGTAATGAGTAATCTTGCTAATGTTTATACACGAAAATATATTTTTGTTTTTGTTATATGATGCAAGTTGTACAATACAAAGATAAAATTTATTCAACCATAATAATGCATGAAAAAGATTTTGTAAGTGAATACTTATTTTCGTGACTTTATTTCTGGTGAACTAATTAGCTATCTATTGTAGCATACTGGCATAAAACGAAGCTGGAAACAATTTGATATGCACTTAACAGGGAAATTTCAGTTGCAAATGACGGCAGATATACACGTTTTTTATCAAAAACAAAATTTAATATTTACAGTATTTACGAATGCATCTTCTTCTTTTTTTAAGCTTATGCCTATCAAACAACATGTTACTTCTTTTCAAAATCATCTGTGATAATACAGTCATGTGAAAAGTTTTGAATTTTAGATTTTGAGTCACAGAAAAGTCCCTTTCTCCTAAAATTGATTGAACAAAAACCAGCAGCTTTCGCTGTCACAAAGAAAGTATACGCATGTTTTAAACTAAAAGTTAAAAAGTGACTATCAACATTGCAGAAAAACGCAATACATTGTAAGGTGAGCTTTTAAGAAATTATTTCAATCAAATATACTTAATTAATTTTAATACATTTGCATATATTTCTAAAAAATCTGTTTTGCTTCTGCCAGATAAAAAAAAAACCTTCCTCAGTTGGTGAACTAAAATCTGAGGCTTTTCACATCCTTAAGGCCTCTCTACTTTAGTTGACGACTCAAATACTAACATATGCTTCACGCCAATCTACAAACAAATTAGGTTTTATTTGTTTTAATTTCGGATTGCAATTTTTACCCATAAGTGGTGTGTTTTTTTGTATGTGTTTTATTTTTTTATTTCCTTCACCATACAGACATCACTTTTCATCTAATGAAATGTTTTCAATGATTGTTTGATTTCATTCAAATTTTGCAGCCAGTCTTTCTGCAGCCGAAAAATGGAATGCAACAAAATTATCAAAACAGTTTCTTGTTTAATACATACGTGCTCCATTTTCTTAATTTTACTAAATTAATTAATTACATAATTTTAAGTTCTAATTTACCTACTCTATCTCGCTTTATCTTTACGAGTTAAATAAACGTACTAGAATATAGATATGTAGATAGCTAGGATTACGAGTTTGCCGTAAATAATCAAAATCAAACATCAAGACAGTTCTAAGATCAAGACGATCACTCAAGCGGACCATGTAATATTGGAAAAAAGTGAGTCAAACTAAATTATAATTTCTGTCATGAAAGGTAAACGCACCTATAATTTGTAGCTGTATGAAAACTGAATATATTGCTTTTTTATATCTTACCATATATATTCTAATTTAGTGGTACACAAGAATCACAGATACCATTATGACTCATCTGTTGTTTTGAAGCTTTTACATCTGAAGGATATTTCTATCCTTCTTCAAACTGAAAACAAAACTAAGAACGTTCTGTGTTTTCCATAATAAACAGTAATCTTCCAATAATAAGTAATAATCTTCCATTTAAATCAATCACAATAATGTTTATGCCATTTGATTAACCTTTACTTTTGGATTTTATAAAAATTGTCAGAAATGTTTTTATGTTTAGCTTTTTCTTTGCTATTTATTCCAGATAGCAGAAGGATTTTCCACTTTTTTAATTTCACATTTGAGTTCTATTCTTACATTTGTTGTGTGTTGCAATATATGTGAACCCATACGGAATAAAGGAGTTATTTAATTGGTCAAATATACTAAGTATGAACAGAGATTGCGTTTTAAATTTAATGTTTTTATCTCGATCAAAGATATAAATTTTACTTTTCATGTGCTATATCAATAAAGGTATTGAAGTATATCGGATATGTTTACATGGTTGTTTTAATAAACAAAGCTGCTCATGCTTACAGATAATGAAACGCATAAAGGACACTAGTTACAGATCCCAGTATCAGCTATAAATATCAATCAATGAAACTGTAATAAACTTCAGGAGAAATATATTAGCTGTAAAAACAGCGCTGCTTTGGTTAATAAAATTAATTATAATGGTAACTTTACATTACGTTAGCAAGAGAAAAAAATCTGATGCGTACGCCACAAGACTTCTTTGTACGGAATATTAAATTACACACAATTTTCCTGCATTTC